AGTAACATTTGCGAGTATATGTACTTACAAAGCATTTTTACAAGCTTTTTTTCCAGCTGTGTTGCGACAATTCTTTTTCTATTCCTTTCTAGTTCGGTCACACCTTTTGGCACGGTCTTAGGTGTATATAGATTTAATGCTCACACGTATTCCGAATCTATTTATAAGTGTATGCATATTTTCACAAGAATATTGCACAACTGCGACATAAAATCGATTGAGCGTGTTCGCTTGCATTTTAGCTGTATTCAAGTGGATTTTATATTTGCTATTTTGTATTACCTTTTTAAAGTTTTCCTCGATATTTTTGTTTCTTGTCAAGGCACAATATAAAGTATATACATTAGGGCGGGTCAATTTGTATGACCAATTTTTTCGACTATGCGCGTATATCACAGAAGCATTCTACGTGTATTTCTAAGCAAATTTTCCGAAGAAACCATGAGCCTAAAATCAATTTGGAGTTTTTCAAATTTTGTCTTAAAGAAGTGCTTAAATTTTTTATAAAAACATGTTATAATTTGTGCACTCATCATTTTCTTAAAACTTTGACCACATTTTCTTCGACACATATTTTTGCAATTTAACAAACTCCAAACTGATTTTAGACCCATGGGTTCTTTGGCAAATTTGCTTAGAAATACACGTAGAATCATCTTATGCTATCCGTGCGTACAAACAAAAAATTGACCCGCCCTAATAGCCAAATAAAAATTGTTGTCACGTTCTATCGGCTCATAAAGCTGGCACTCGCNCACCCAATTAAACAAACTATCCCAGATGAAGGCAGATTATTATAATTGTATTGCAGGATGGGCAGAAGGATACCTCCGATAAGCAACTACAAGGATATTTAAGATTAAAACACCTACGCACACGAAAATACTATTAAGACATATTGTAATAGGTCACAGAATAACTTGCAACAATTAACCGCAATTAAGGCGCTTTAATTAAGGTCAAAAAAAGCAGAATGGGAAGCATCGACCAACTTAATTTAAATCTTCATACATACATACCTATTCGTTTACTATTTCAAGAGAATAATGCTTTTGCATGCCGTGCGCTTTATTATGAGCAAACAAAGCAAATTCTCCAAAGTGTGTCGTATCTGGCCAAGGAATGTTCGTTAAGAGTTCGGCACGAAATGACAGACACAATTGCCGTTCGCTGCAGACAAACAATTACTTATGCATGTATATTAGTATGTACGTATAAATACACTTGTAATTATTTGGAAATGCGAATATTTGCTCTTGTTAATATTGTCAACATAATTGAATCCTGGCAAATGAGTTCACAAACACAGACGGTTGTCAAACTAGAATAGAGCACATTTTTTCCTTATATAAATAACATACTATAAGTACATATGTGTGTATGCCGTTGTGTGTTAACAGACCATCATAATCAGTAGCGTGCCGTCAATGTTGGGTGCTTCAGTTAGTTACCAAAATATGTAGCATATCCAGAAGGCGGCGCGCGGTTTGTGTAATACATTTAATCGTATATATATACGTATATATACATAACCAGAAGAACTTAAACTTATTTAAACAGCAGTCTCAATAGAGCAGTGTACGAGGTAGTGGAGAAGGGCAAACACCATCATTCGCGTGCGTAACTGGGCCATTGCCATTGCTCTTGCCTATTTTGCTATTCTAGCATTATTGTTATGTTTTCTTGGAATGTTCGTGCTTCGCCAACCGCATTTCTTACAAAGGATTTGTTTACCGCTTCCGTAATTTTTCCCATCCTTAACAATGCTGTTTTTGACGCGNTTTGCTATTCTAGCATTATTGTTATGTTTTCTTGGAATGTTCGTGCTTCGTCCAACCGCATTTCTTACAAAGGATTTGTTTACCGCTTCCGTAATTTTTCCCATCCTTAACAATGCCGTTTTTGACGCCGGCATTCTCGCCACACTTCCGCTCTGACACGTTTTTATACGGCCAAAGACATGCTTCAAGTTAAGTGCTAAATAGCATGTAGCAAGTACAGCGAGAGAAAAGTAAAAGAATTCGGCTGGCGATGGTGTGACCAATGAAGGAGGTGACTGCCACAATTTATATTGGGGACTTGGCAATGGCAATTACTAGTGAAATAATGACGCTTGATAATAAATTCCTTTTGTATACAAAAGTCGATCTGGCTCTTTAAAGTGACGAAGTAGCCAGTGTTACTTTTGTTTAAAAATATATGGCCGTATTCATAAAAAATAAAGTAGGTTTAAGGAGCTTTTTAAATTGACGTTTCAATACCGTAACCATTGCCTTATGATACATGGGTGTTTCCATAAAAATGTAAACCGAAAGTAAATGAATTCNATAAAAAATAAAGTAGGTTTAAGGAGCTTTTTAAATTGACGTTTCAATACATTTTTCAATTTATAAACCTTTTTTAAAGCCACTTTATCTTTTATGAGTAAGGGCCGTAGTATTTATACACCAAGAGGAAAGGTCAGGTAGCTCGATGCGATATATGCACGGAAATTGGGGGCTCAGGATGTGTCGAAAGGAAAAGGGCGGAAAAAGTCAGATTATTGGCATCACAGCAGACAGTAAACAAAACCAAATTACAACAAAAACAACTATAAAGCCGAAAACAAAAGCGCTGACGATGACAGCAAAGAAAAGATGAGATTCAATAAAAAACCAACACACACATACATACTTATGTATGTACTTATGTAGATACATATGACACCAGGATTCTTATATATACGCACTTTGATTGCGAAGGGATATCGACGCTGACAATGACGATTATAGCAGAAATTTATTTCACACTTTTGACAGTCAATCAAATTGATTTAGTGGATTGTCGCAGCTCGGAGGAATCGTAACCATTGCCTTATGATACATGGGTGTTTCCATAAAAATGTAAACCGAAAGTAAATGAGTTGAAACGGCTTTATAACCTTAAATTTCATATTCAAAAATGAAAAAAATTAAATAAAAAATTAAATTATATACATATGTACTACTAGTAAAAATACTGTACGGTGAAAATCTGTCACTTAAAAGAAACACAACTGGGTTAACTTCATAATTTTGTAAGTCTTCAAATGTTGAGGCAACAACAGACGCTGTTGACTTTCTGGAATTGAAGATAGGCGAATATACCACATTATAGGACAATCCTATACCACAGTACCCGAAGTTCCTCTATCGATAACGATAAAAAATCTCGGTAAATCCACCTATAGAAATAGTGGTAAATATTTATTGATTTAAATATAATTGTATCGATAATTATTACAAAAAATTAAGAATCGGTAGAAACATCGGAACGTTAACACTCGTCTCGCCTGAATCAAATTGCGAACTTCTGCGGATTTACTGAATCACAATATATTTCCGTAAATCCTTAAGTTCTGCGAATGTTCCGACATTTTCCTTAAATTCTTTCTAAAAACTTTCAGTTCCCTGTGCAGCGTCTTTAACCTGAGGGCTTAGTTGGCTTGAATGCCGTAGAGTTTACTAAGCTCTCTCTCTTAGTATGGAGATATAAAGTAATCCGTGCAGATCTTGGGTTTTTAATTTAAAATAAGACGCTTAAAACAAAACTGGTTTGTTCTGTCCGCGGCCAACATTTGAATGAAATTATTTTTAAGAAGTAAATGTCAGAGAATATTCTTTAGGGCAATAATAAAGATTCCGACATACAATTCTGTTTTAAGTGTTTTATTTAAAGATTAAAAAAAGATCTAGATGCATCATCCCATACATACGGTGCACCGCGGTAGCGATAAAATATAAAAGGGGCCCGTCATTTTAAAAACTCTTGGCTATTTTTTCTTTTGTTTATGTATTTAAGTCAAAAGTTTTGAACATTTTATTGAAAATATGCATCTAGACAGACTAGTTTTATAACCCATTTTAGTATAACAAGGTAGGTTGAGGTAGCTAGGCATTACCGTTAATATTTGATAATTTTTTTGCTGAAGGTGTTGTGCTTTTTACTCCATATAAAAAAATTGTCGAACATACTTTGTATGGAAGAAAATGGGTGACAACGTCAGCACAAAAAAAAATCAACGGTAAGTCCTAAGTACTTCAAACGTGCACTTTACATTATACTAAAATTCAAAGGGCTAGAAAGCTTCGTACCAAAATATTTTCTAAAACTTTGTCGAATTTTCCAAATTTGTGTACAAATTTAAAGTTCTTAATTATTTACATGGTCTTAATCAGATAGTGGGCTATACTTTCAGTAAAAATAATAAGCATTAAATAAACAAAAAAAAAATTTTGTTTGCTCCTTTAAATAACCAGTCAAAAACACCGTTGGCATTTTATACACATTCAATGCATGCATATTCGCATGGCTTGTAAGGGCCTACAAACTTTTATAAAACTTTTTACTCCTCTCTTTGTGGTCTCTTTTTGGTAGGCCATTCATATGATTGTTTAATAAGATTAAACAAGAATTCTAGGCACATACTTTAAGGCGTTGAAGCCGAAGCGAAAAGCCACAATGCAAGGCAACTTTAGTATTTAGTATTTGATTTTCACAAACTTTTGCCTAGTGCAGGATGCGGCTTCTCTAAGCTTTTACCAAAGATTGTTGACATCAAAACTAATTAGATAAAATCCCAAATGTAGGTTATATAAAGCGTGTCAGTTGGCTTATGAATATGCAAAGAGATTGAAGATTTGAGCCAACGCTATGTCTAAAGGACCACTATGTGTGTGGTAAACGCTTTAAGTGTGTATGAGTGTGCGTTCGAATGTGAGGTTGACCAATAAATTTTACTAAATGCTGAATAAGCATGGCTGACAGGCATTTGAGTGGATCGTAGTCGTAATTAAAAAAGGTCTCAAATGAAATTATTTGGAAAAAAAAAATATTTTTTCGCATTTTTTCACAATAAACTTTTAAATGATCTCTGAGCAAATATATGGCATGTGAAGTCTTTAGAGTGGCTCTGAAGACACCTTCTATATGTGTATCTACTTATGCAAAACAAAAAGAAAAGTTTTTTGCTTTCAACTCACCTGCTTGCCAAACGCGGGCGATAGAGACGGCGGTGGCGGCGATGCCGTACTAATGCGCGTCGGTGGCGTGTAGAGTATGCGCTGCGATTCCATATTCAAGCGATCGAATGCCTTCTCCTCCAAATGAAATTCGTCCTCACTATTCGCCTCTTGAGGCACTACATCCGGATTTTTATCCTCCAAACTCGAATGACTGCCCAAATTGCGCGACAGCGGTTCGGCGCTGCCCTTATCCGCATCCGTTGTAGTGGTATCACTATTCGGACGACGCGTTGTTTTCGGACGTACACGCAGAAAGATTACTATGCAGATGGCTATCAGCACTACCGTACCGAAAATGCCCAGCAGTGCGCCGAGCAGTGGTGTAAGTTGTACCAGTACCGCTGTAGAGGAAGCTGTGCGCAGTAGTGGCGCCGATAGTGTGCGTTCACGCACTCGATACGCCGATTTGCTGGGACCATGCGCATTCACCGCCGTGATGCGTATCACGAAGACCGAATCGCTGGGCAGTCGCTTCACTGTGAAATCGGCATACTTGTAAGAGGTGTTGTAGAGTATTTGGTTGGTGAGCTCGTCCTTGACTTGCACGTGAAAGTGCTGCGGTATGCCGCCATCGTAGCCGGGCATGCACTGGATTTGTATGGAGTTGGCGGTGGCGTTGTAGGCCGTGCAATTCTTCACTGGTTCGGGGAAGTCTGTGAGAAGGAAAAATTAAAAATAAATGCAGTTGAAGATAAAAAAAGGTACAGCTGAAACTTTAAAACTATTGAATGATGCAAACAGAAATCTCTAGACTCACTTACTCGGCACACCTTAATAACTGCTGCTCTCCTTAAATAACAACAAAATCATCGGCAGCTCGAGCGCACAACTAAATCATGCAGTAAGCTGACACTCAAATATGTGCCCAAAAAAATTCGCACAAAATAAACGCCTACATCGTTTAAGCCAAGGCGCACTTGAGCGCAACGCTGCTTGGCAGTTGCCAAAGTCACACTGCCTTTTAGGGTCAATAGCGCACTTGAGTGTGGCACAAAAAGCACGTCGAGTGATGGCTGAGAACATCTGAGCAACATTGCTGCCCACACATGCCACTGCCATCGCATGCCACACGGTAGTAGATGCCTTGCACTTTAAACCATAAATGGTTAAGCGCAAAAAACAAAGACTGCTGCCGCCCTCCCCCTTGTTTTGCGGCATGCAATTGCGGTTTTTTGTTGTTTATTATTTTTTTTTTACTTTTATTTCTCTAAGCGAACTTAAGAGCTACTGCGCTTGAAAAGGATAAGCAAAAACAAAGTATGTACGTAGTACATGAATGAAGAAAGAAATTAAAACAAAAAAGCTTACAAGTAGATAGACAAGCAGTAAAATTGAATCAGAAACCGACAAAACAAGCAGGAAAGTAACCGCACCAACAAGCAATGGCGAAGAATGGCAAAAGAGGTATACATATACATGCATACCTAGAACTGAGTACGTGCTAGTGTGCGAGCAGAAAAACCAAGTAAGAAAATAGCTCATCGGAGAAGCCACACATAAGTGACTGGGACTCACTACATTAACTTTCTGAGGAGGCTCTTTTAAAACCACGATTGCGAAAAATGGAATGAGATAGAGTCATAGAATGAGATATTAGCTAGAAGATCGAGAACATATTGAGTAGGAAGAGAAAAATGGCTATGTGAAGTACTCCTTAGGATGGTGTGCTATCTCCTGTAGTATGGGATCTTGTATTGAACTAACATCTACTTCGAGTAGCAAGTAGCAAGGGCAAGTGGCCAGAAACCAATGGTCTGGCGGTTACTCTCTATGTGGTTTCTAAACTATTTCTCACTTAGAGATTTTCTTAAACTTTCTTGGAAAAGAGCGGAGAATGAACTGTACAGCAGTAGTTAGAGCTGTTCTCACATATACCGCGTTGGCCGGTAGGAGGCGGTGGACTCCAAGTCATGTCCAGTACGGCCCCGTCTCAAACGACATTCTAGCTATAGGCATCTGCGTGAAAAGTGCGCGCTCTGAGATATAGGGCGGAAACCATGGCTATGACCTTAGCTTCGACATTTACTTTCACGACAGAAGTGAGTGGGAACTTGGTATCATTCTAAGCGATGACGAAATAAAAATACGTATTTAAAGATCGATCCAAAATGAACGTTGAATCATAAGCTGTTTTTGAGAGAGGTTTCTAGACTACCCATAACTGCAGATTATTCCTGGCTAAAGTTTCAAGCAATTCCTTTGGGATGGTAATGACTAACTCGTCAGGCGTGCAAGTATGCCGAAGAATCCACCAAAGTCTTCCGCAGATATGGTGAATGTATTACATATGTCCCGAGATACGGTGGTAATTCGCGAAATAAAGATGCAGGCAACTACGTGAGAAATTAATTTTAGTCTTCAGAGTTGAGGAAATAGCTAGGGCGGCTACCGAAAGCAAGTGGACGGATCTGCACACATGTACTATTCGCCGCAACCATTGTTCAGTTTCTCACTGGAATCGTTGGCCATATGACCGCCAGACTTAGAATTTTACTTAATTATTGCTGTAGAAGCTATATATGTGAAAAAGGAATAATCTATTCCCCACAATCCGGATGCGGAGGAAACGTAACTAATTGCTGGAGGACCACTTCTTTGAGAACTTGAACAGTTTAGGTAAAATTCCATTAGAGGGTATAAACAGATATGTGGCAAGATGCGCAGGCATCACATTGGACTTGTGAGGTCTCGGGGTGCACTCGATCTAGAAGCAACCCAGCCCGTATAATATAATGGGTGCTCGTCGCCATGCCTGACGAGAAGACAGTGATGTCTGTTAAGAAATGCCAGCGACCAGTAAGCTATTAACTTGACAGCCATATGTAATGTGGCTTGCATAAGGTCAGGTGTCGGTTTCCAACTGGGAATGTATGCGTGGCTACACTCGAGTGCATATAAAACCACAAAGTAAAAGTTATCGTAGGTATACCGAGAAGTACTTAGATTTTACCGCCTTTCTTTTATTTTACTTGCATGCTGCGGCTGGCTGCATTCCCGTAGTTGTAAAATGTACTTAGTTCGTTGGCGTGTTGTTCTGTTAGCTAGGCAAATACGCTTTCAAACACGCGCTTAGACACACACATACTCACACTCACACACACGCATGCGTTTACTAAGCCAATGTAACACAAAGTTTTTATTACAAAGTGTTTGTTTTTTGTTTATTTTATTCGTACTCTTCTTCTCTACATACACTCCGCCCACACAATTCGCTTCTGTTACAAAATATGTAGCTGTAAAGCCCTAGAAACCAACACTTGTGGTCACTTGAGTTGTTAGTCTTAATTATCAAGGGTAGCTTGACTTGTACGCTTGCTTCGTTTTCACTTTTTTTTGTGAACAACACCTCACTTGGAAACTTACGCATACACACATTTGTTTTTATTTGCCTTGGGTTGATAGCAAATATAAAAATAAATATGTGGCGCTTTAAAAAAAAGGGTTGCGAAACGCTTGATGCAAAAAAGCGTAAAAGATAACTGGGTGTTGTGATGAGTAGGGAAAAGTGCTAGTTTGCCATCCAGCAACTTTGATCTTTGGAGAAAGAAAAAGATAAGAAACTAGGTTAACTGTGATCAATTAAATGATGGCTATGATGCGTTTAAGTACATACACTCGGCTTACTTAGATGAAACAATTTCTTTAGATTGTCTTTTTGTAAGTTTTTCTAATAAAGAATATAGCTTTTTTTCTCAAGTGGCCTTTGAAATTTGTATATGTCCTTTTTAAGTACAAAGTTTGTTTTTAACGGGCGGATACATTTTAAAATTTAATTGAGAAAACGGCCCTTATGACGAAAACGTCTCAAATCTTCTAAATGGAACTCGCCTAAAAGCTAATTATGAGTTCAATGATCACCATACTTTGGAAATACAAATTTTTTTTTTAAATTCACTACATATACGATCGAAGGGAAAGGCTATCTCTGAGACCACTGAGCTACAGTTTAGTGCCTAGTAGGGAATTCATGGAATTTGGTTTTTACATGACTTTAAAATATCCTAAAATTTGGACGAATACAGTCAGGGCTTTATTTCCTCTGCGCATTTCAACTGGATAGGACGAAAGTTCTCCAAGGTTCCAAAGAAATCTGGTGTTCCAGTCAATAAGGGGACATGGAATAAAACGAAATCTTTCTTAGCAGGACCGTCGAGAAAAAATTCGGGCCCAAACTGAAAAAGCACGGCCCCTATACACAAATTTTATTAATTTAACAGTATGTGATAATTTTCTAGAATGTATAGAGTCAGAAACAATCAGCACGAATCGGAATATATGTATAATAAAAGCCTATAACAAAGGGGCCTCTCCGTCTCGTCGGGCCTGCTTCTTAGTAAGTCATCGTTCTTTAAGAATCAAATTTGGGGAGGTGCCAATCACCTTTCAAGCAATTAAAGAATGGCTGGAACATCAAACCTGCAAGCCAGCAGAAGATGCGTTGCAAGGGACACATTCTTGTAGAAACAGGATGTACGAAACCTAAACTATTAGTGAAATCGCTGATGGCACGTTATCCGTTAGCAGCTCATGAATTGAAACTTATTACGGATGAAAGGAGGAAACCACTGAAAATAATTACGGGGTTCACTAAGGGTCGTATTGTATTACGTCAGAAAGTTTTGTAGAGGTTGAATAAAATTTTAAGGGACTTGAAACCACCACTAACCCTTGTTTAAGTGTGTGAAATTTAACAATATGACTTTTATGGTACCTTACGAACCCCCTACATATATCTTTAGCTACATAAAATGTTTACGACATAAAACAATACGACATTTACTACACCCTTGTGAATACCCCAATAATATGCATGCGCCCAGTACGCAGCGGAGCGCTACTTAGAGTTCTCGGAGAGGTACAGCTTCAGAGTCTGGAACTAGCAGAATGCTACAAACCGTGAAAGGAACCAAAAGACGTGGTTTTCTCACATCANCAGCGGAGCGCTACTTAGAGTTCTCGGAGAGGTACAGCTTCAGAGTCTGGAACTAGCAGAATGCTACAAACCGTGAAAGGAACCAAAAGACGTGGTTTTCTCACATACACCGAAGGTTCGACAGATTTCGAGAGATTTTGACAAGTATAGAGACTTTTTAAAGTTTTAAATCTATTTTTAATATACAGATTAACTCAATTTTTCAAGTGTTTTTCTGCAATGAAATTCATGCAAAATTAAAACAGAAATTCTTACAATTGATTTATCTCTAAAAAGGGATTAATCAAAAATTTATGGACATTGCCAAATTGCGGTTAGTTCGGCAATAAGAAATACATACATATGAATATTGCACTTGACAATTACATGACATTCTTCATTCGGACTCAAGTGCATGGAAGGCAAGGAAATGTAAAGCAGAAATAAAGCAAAAACCAACAAAGCAATAAACTTCTAAGTATCTCCGGGAAAAGAAAGTACAGTAATAGCAAATAATAACAACAATAACAATTTTTAGACGAAATGATAGTTTTCAAATCACTTGCTAATTTCGCCTAGCAACCATCAGCAACATCAGCCAGCACTAAGAGGAAAAGGACGACAAGGACAATGACACTCTCTTGCGATAGTCCGCCACATGGCCAACCATGGCGTGCCGTTGCTGCCATAAGTGGTGAATAGTATTCTCAGTTTGTGAAAATGCCAGCAAAAACTGTGAATTTTCCATTGTAAATATGCAAAATGAAAACAATTTGCAGACAATTGCTGCATATGGTGGAAAATGGAAATAAGTAAAAGTAAATACACATATATACATACATACATATATACGCAGTAGCTAGTAGAAAAATTTAACTAACTTAACTTAACTAAGTTAAGTCACTGCAGTACCGTTGCAGTGTTTGTTGAATGCTTTCCGGTGTGGAGATACATTAGGGTGGTGCTTGAATTATAAACAACTAAATTTTGTACGAGGCACACCTCTTATGTTTTTCTGCGTACAAAATAAATATGTTTATTTCTGAAAATTTTAGAATAATTTTTAGCGGAAGCAAAAATTTGCCAAATTCTGCACTTGACAAGCTATATCTCAGTAAGTTTTTTCCCGATCAAATCCAATATCGTTTAACGCGTATTTGAATTGCCTTTCCCACGAAGTACTGTTTGTTATTGATCAGACTTGTCAGTTTAGTCATGAATCATACCACAAAAACACACAAAAATATTATAATCTCAAAAAAACCAAAAAAAAAAACGTTTTGAGCTCAGGAAGATCATACAACTGTACCCTGTATGTGAGGTTCTCGGTATTTTTTCAAGACAAGACTGCACTTATTCAAAAAAAAACTCAAATAAATGGCGTTGTTTGGAGTTTAATATAACATGATGAACCTATTTGGCGATGACTATGAATTTATATGGATGGTTTTCCATAATATATAAAATTAGAATTTTGTTATTTTAAGGATCATCCTAAGAGATATTTTTACATAGATATGTATGTACACACAACAATTACTGATGACATTTGCACAATTGAATCAGAGCATAAATGAAAGAGACAAGAGATTTGATGGTCTGCAAGTGTGTTTGAACGCGTGAAGTTTTGCGGTATGCATGTAGTATATGAGTGCATTAAAATAAATATTCATGCTTGGAAAATTATCTTTATGATCTACTATCATAAAAACTGTACTACAAAGAAAACAGTGGCCAAAGAAATCTTAAGAAAATGTAGAAAGTTGTTAATTTGAAGAAGATTTTCCAATTTTTATTGTTCTTTTTTTGGAGTTAAAGAGGTATCTGCAGAACTAAAATAACAAAAACCTAATAAGGTTTATTTTAAATTTTTGTAATCGGTCGTTGTGGCTGATTGGTTACAGTTGCGTACTACCACTCCATAGCACCTGAGTTCGATCCCTGGTCCGAAAAGTTCTTTATAACACGCGCGCCCTTCGGCAGGCAATGCCAAACCTCCAAGTGTATTTCTGCCTTGAAAATGTTCTCACAAAAACCGTTTGCCATTTGGAGGCTGCGTAAAATTGTACACGTTTATCACAAATTGGAGGAGAAGCTCAGCCAAACACTTTTAAGCGCCAAAATTTAAATATTATACTGCCCAACAAAATTCAGTTGAGTAAAATATTTTAGCCGATTCTTATAGGATTTTTCCCGAAGAATCCGAATCTGACCATAAATATTTTGGATTGGCTCTAGTTTAGATTCAACCATACCACTTGCACTCGAATCGGTATCTGACATGATGCGCTAGTTAGGGAATCTCCCTTTCAGTCACTTCGGAATACTTTCTAATTGTAGTCATCTGGGTGCCACGACAGTACTGTTGAAAGAACTGGCTATGAACGAAGCCTTGAAGGCGTCTCACTGAGTACTTATTGGATGAATAGGACCAATGTGAATTACAGACGGGTGAGGAAGTCTGTACGGTCCACAAAGCCGTAGCTATCCCTAATTCTGATAGTTTTGAAATATCGCAGAGATTTTGCTGTTATAATCAGAATAGCCACAGCTATTTGAGGGATGATGAGGTACAATCAACTCTGTATTTTTTGGAAGCTGTTCCGATTTTACGAGGCTAGCTTTGAAACATCTCGTTTCTCATGTATTTCTCAAACAACCGTGAGAAACTTTCTGGTAATTAGCTGAATTTTTCGGGGTGGCATTACTCACTGGAATATTGAGAAAACCGCCAAAAATCTACCGATGGAGTCTGAGTATGTATTAAGTACGAGTTGGCGCCGCGTTAGCTTTGAAAACTGCTGTGAGAGAATGATTAATTTTTAATTGTGTGTGCTCACGTCTATGCCACTTATATGTATTTATGCCTATGAACAGCATGTGTGAGCCACAATTGACGTTCTGACATAACTTAATTTGCACAAAAAAGCTCTACATGGCATAAGTGCGAGCAGCAGGTTGCTACCCAATTGTAGCAATACTGAATTTTTAATTGAATTTTTTTGAAACTGTGGTATGAATGCCTGCAAAGTGCAGTCGAACAAGGACTGCAAAGATAATGTAGCATGTGTGAATAATATGAGCAGAGAGTGTGGAAGTACACACATACATACATATACACACACACTTGAGATATTAAATCAAATAAAAAACTGATTTAAATTAAAAACAAAGTAATGAAATTAAAGCTGATATTTTTGTATGGGGACTTTGAATTCGAGTATTAAAGCTGGTGAAGAAATGAGTTAAAGGATGAAGAAGAGATTTACTAGTAAGCACCGAGAATTTAAAGTAATGCCGAGATACTCTTGGAACTAGTTTTTATATACATTTGAGTAAAAAGCGTCATATAATAAATTCCTTAGGCTTTAAAAACTACCCTTAGGAAGTACTCATATATACGAATTCCAATATAGTCCAATAATATCACGGATAGAAAAATTTACGAATACCCGGATTTTATGCATTGACGAGAAAATACGCATCACAAAATAGAAGGAATATTAACCGGGTATCCGGATTTATCAGTATACACGAATATCCGAACCCATATCCAAATATCTTATCTTAGGGCGTAATGGATTTTCGAATAATATAGGCGCACTTTTCCACAGAATTCTGTATATTCAATATTCTTTGATTAAAGCTCGTCGGCGATTTCAAGCATCCGTTGATGGTTACCCCAGCAACCGAGGCAATCGGAGATCGTCGTGTCACACGTACTTGTTGTCGGCTCGCGTTGATGGAAAATCAAAAATTTTTGATTTTCCATCAACGCGACCGCTTGACAAGCGGTCTGTTTGATAGTGGCGCAAAGCGTTGACAAGCATTAGTGTGTTAGTTTGTTGTGATATGTAAAATGAGCAAGTTCGCGGAAGATAAAGATTTTAGTGGCAAGTAGCAAAAAATCGTCATCCGATGAAGACATTAGTTGTGTTTTTTTTTACAAATTATCCAGTAACTTGCCAGTAACTCTCCAGTAACTTTATTTCTAAGAATTCGCTCTCATAGAAAAAATTTGAAAAAAGTACGCGAACGCTTTTCCAGTAATAATTTGCAAGTTTCATGAACATCTGATAAATTGGTGGTTTATTCGCAGCATATTCCCAATAAAACGATATATTTTATATTTAAATATGTTTGTTTTGAAAATTTCCACAATAAAAATTCACAAACAGTTTCCTTATTAGTTTAAATTTCATACAGCAACATGCGATCAGCTGTTTTTCGTACTGGCAAATTCTTACAAGTAAAAATTTATCCAGTAAAATCCAGTAAAAACTTGCAACTTCAGCTGTCATTTTTCGCTCTCTCAATTTTCCCTACTTTGCAAGTTTTTGCGTACGAAAACGCCAAAACATGAAAATTCGTAAAAACTTTTACTGGATTTTACTGGAAATGAGTAAAAAAACGCAACTATGTTTACGTCCGCCCACTACGAAATTTTATTGCAAATGGTGTTGACGCTTTATGCTTGAGTGTCGCCGGGCAAGCTTCAAGCACCCGACATTCAACCCGACACTCACACATGTACTCGTTGCTGGGGTAACCATCAACGGATGCTTGAAATCGCCGACGAGCTTAAAGAAATACACGCGCACACATACACACACAACTATTCTTATCTGAATACGCTATGTATATGTATATGCGTCTAAGTACATTCAATATTCACAGCGTTTACTATTCACTCACCTGCCGGCTGTATGTGATACCAGCAGGGCCCACTGTGCCCCATCTCATTGCTGGCCATGCACGAGATTGCGCCAAAGCTGTCGTACGAATCTATGTGATAGCTGTAGACGTTATTGAGTGGTGGCGCCGTTGGCGGCTGTGTAGTCATTGGCCCTGCGCCCATTAGGCGGTGGTGTTGTTTCTTATGCTGCGCTGCCGTTAGACGTTTGCGCTCGGCCAACTGAAATTGATTGCCATGCGGGAGCACTTCATGGGCAGCGCCTGCCACAACACCGCCACCGGCCATGCGGCCTTGTTGCTGATATATGCATGCTAACATATGCTGTTGTTGTTGTTGTTGTTGTTGCCGGTTATCTAAATGATTTTTATGAATCATATTTGAATATACCATTTGTGTGTGCGGTCCATGCGCTGCATGCTGTTCTTCATACAACAACTGTTCCTCCTCCTGCTCTACTAAGTCGCGTTCATCCTCATCGTTCTCGCTGTCGTTGTTGTCCATCAACTCGCCATCATCATACTCATCGACATATTGAGTGGGCGGTATTGGTTCGTCGGCATCTTCGAAGCGTATGTTGGACGACCATCGGCCGTCCAAAACGCTGCTGGCAGCCGCAACACGTCCATGCCGACCAAGCAGAAATTTTTGTGCATGACCATGCTTCCGCTTGCCTCGCTGATAAAATCCGGCGGATGTGTGACCTCCAGCAGCTACAGCCGCAGCAGCTGCGCTATCCGGATACAGCAGTAGCGGCATAGTGGCCGGTGCTGTCGCCTGCGCTGCGGGCAATTCGATGAGCCTCTCCAGTGAGTTGTTGAAATGCCATCTGTAATTTAGATTATCAAGTGGATTCGAGTCCACTTGGCACGTAATGTTGATGGTCTGTTTGAGTGCGGCGCGTATGGTGGTCGACTCAGCTTGGCATACGGGCGGGTCTGTGGGCAAAATATGTAAATCGTTAGAAATGCGTGTAAGTAGATGGCGGGCGACTGAGCAGATGCATAAATTAGATATGTATAGACTGTGCGCCTATTTAATTGAATATTAAATAACTATGTGTAGCTTTAGGGTATAGGCGGATGTAAAACATAAAATAATGCGTGATTTAACGGATAAGCTGAAAATGATAGCAATGCTTTGGAATTTTTAAACTATTGCTTATGAGGATGGAGGAGGGAAACAGCGGGAGGCACCATCAATGAGAGCGCCAAAATATCTTCCAATTTTTATACATTTTTTTTTTTTTAATTTTCCTTTACTTACATTTAACATCGAGGTACACTTCATTGCTGGACACACTGCCCTGTAAGTTGGTGGCACGACAGAAATATTGACCATGCGAAATTTTCGATATGCCTTGCAGTACCAGCGTTTGATTGGAAATAATAACGCCGCGGGAGAGATGAAGTTGTTTGTCCTGAAATGTGAAAATTTAGATATTTTTAAAAGTGACTTAGTTTTAATGCAGTTATGTGAAAATGTGGTTTTTGATTTGAAAACTTAATAAATTTTTTTGTTTTGAAAAGTTCAAGTTTTGAACTTATGCAAAAAAAAAAAAATAACAAAAAAATAAAAAAAACAATCGTTCAAGTAACGATTTTTTTAGCCGTTGATCTGATTGTATTCCTAATGAGGCATTGTAAAAATCGATAATTCGCTTTACTGACACTTTTACTGCAATGTACAACACATGCATTCAAGAAGGAAATTTTCCTACTAAATAAATGGAAAGTGCAGAGTGTGTTGACCGACCCGTCTTATTTTCGAAGTCTCTGCATGCTTGATTTTATGAGAGAGATCCTTTAGCGTATTATAGACCACGGTCCAAATAACTTCGTTGAAGATTCAAGGAAGCTGCAAGGCCGAACAATAAAAACTGTATGATAGACACCCTTTGTATATAAAAATGCATTCAGCTCGGCAAAAGATTCTATAGGCCCTTGTGTAGTTCTCCACGTCCGCCAACTATCCAATAGGGCGGCAAGGAATGCAAAATGACCGGTACTGGTATCTCTACTCTGGAACATCTCAACGGCTCGAAGAAAGCCCCTAAGTATTGTAGATTTTCCAGACAAAATATCTAAGTATATGTATTACTGTTGTGATAGTAGCTAATCATGTAGCTCAGATCTCTACTGTAACTAAGTCCTACATATGCGGTCTGGGCATTTCGTACAGCATTCATATAACCAATAGATCTTTGAGCTAGGGATCATTTTGAAAGCACCGTAAGAATCACTACCCTTAATACTGAAAGATAATAATGCCAGGAAAGCAGCTCTGACGAATTGTCGAAAGGCAGTGAGCGCAAGTAGCTATGGATGCTGGACAAACCGCTTAGTGCCAAATATGAAAATGTGGATAAACCACGCTCACGGCGGAGAGTTTCATATAACTCAGATGCTTATAGATCGAGGTTTTTTCAAGGCTTACTTAAGAAAACCGTCTCCCGACGAAATACTAAGCGGTAATACGCGAGAATAGGTACAGGACGGTAGGAGTTCTAGCATACACTTTCGCTGCTTCCTCCTTATTTTCGTTTATCCAAAATAAAATCATCTTAATGCGGTATGGGAGTAATAAAGCGAAATATGAAAAAAACAAAAATTAGCTTTTAAGTACAAACTTAAAAACGTCCTTCCTAAATCAAAATTTTGTTTTTCTCTTGTTTTAGTTACATATCTGTCACGTTTGTATCCTTACGGAAGCGAAAAAATATCCTTTCCCTACATAAATCCCTAAACTTCCTCTTGAAACTTTCAAAATAAGCTTCATACAATCGCCATAGAATTATTGTTGGATTGTAGAAAATGGCAAAAAATAGCGTAATCAATTGCAGCAAGGCATTGCTTCCCGCTGTAAATTCAACCCTTTTCAAACTATCCATCAGCTACTCAAGCCAACACCTGTCATTTAGTGGTTGCTTAGGGCCAACGATTATGGACGAAGAGAGATGACACAAAGGCAGCAAGAAAAAAGTTATCTCCAACTAACAACAACAATGACCACGCTTGTGTGTTAGGGGCGACACACAGTGAGTGCGGCTCTGAGCTGGAAAGCTAAATCCTATTTATAGCCACAAAACACAATTGCTTTTCATTCAATTTCTTCGTATTAGCATCACAATATCTACTGCAATAGAAAAATAAATATGTATATGGGGGATTCCAGCCCAAATCGAACACAATTTGGCTTTTGCCTCTCGGATTTTTTTTAGAATTGTTTATGTTATAGTACCAATTGAGAAGGGGCTCACTGATTTAAAAATTTTTTTTTGTCAAGCCGTTTGAGGGATATTGATTTTTGAGAAAAAAAAATATTCCTTACTTTTAAATGGCCATAACTTTTGGGGGCCCATTGAATTATGCATTTTCCAAACTTTTTTTTTTCATATAAAATCGAAAAAACTTAAAATTTTTTTTAAGTAGAATTTTAAAGTGTTTAATATGTTGATTTTCAAAAAACACGTACTGATCGATTTTCTAAAAACAATCTCTTAANTAATTATAGCGCATATGAATATATGCAGTGAGTGGGAACTGCTACCTAATTCAGTTGCAACTTTCNAAAACACTGTCCGCCATTCCACAGCTCTTAAGCCTAGTCCGATACCACAGGTTTACAAAAAAAAAAAAGTTTCCGCATATTGAACCAAACACTCCATATCGCTATGTTATTCGACGCGCTGAATGCGAATCCGAGGTCTGTTAGCCACCATCACGTCAGGTACGACGCATTCATGGCGTCGAATAACATAGGGGTATATAGGTTTGGTTCAATATGCAGAAACTTTTTTTTTGTAAACCTGTGTAATAGGATGTATTTTTTCGAATTTTTTAATTAATAAAAAACCAACAAATTTGGTGCGACCCAACGCCAAAAACTCTGACTGCGTCAAATCAAATGCCTTAATCGAACAAATTAAATTACCACATTTCAGAGAAAGAAATTCTCTACATAATTGCAGTGATGACTTATTTTTATCGAAATTTATCAGATTTAACATAAATTGTATCTTTCGAAATTTTTTCGATTTAAAACAAATTCTTTCCTTAACCTTGGAGGTTACCCGTTAAAATTTGTTAAAATTTTTAAAAGTTTCGTGGATGCCTTTATTCGGTACGCATAACAAAGTAAATAGGTGCTCCATACAAAACTTAGATTCTGCTATTTTTAAGGATTACGTGTATATTCCGCACGCTTTCCTCCAACATAAATTAAATCTAAATAAATANTTTGTTTCAATATTTTTGCATTTTGAAGTTCGATTTTTTTCCTTCCAGCGATGTGGAGAGACCTAAAGCTAAGTAAAGTGGGTAAAGGAAAACAACGGTCATCCGCTGAGGCTGCAAACGTGTCCAGGGAGTGGAGAAATAGAGTTGGTGTGACAGAGCTTAATGGATAAAAGCGAGCAAGCATCGGCGACATAGCCTGCAGTACAGCATGAGTGAATAGCGATATAAAACCTGAAAGGATAACCAAGCCCAGTGCATACACAGCGTCAGCGATAGATGTGCAAGGCAGTGAATAGCAACAAATGTAGAGAAAAGCGAAAAAGAACGAAATGGCCAGGATAACAAACCAGCCACTCCTGCTGCATAAATTTATTGGCATTGTATGCAGAGCAATCCATATGTGTTTTTGCTTGCTTCCGTTGAATATTGGTTTGCTGCAACAACAAAAGGAACATCAGCGAAGACGACGAATGATGGTAGGAGAAAAAAAAAACACCAGCTTCGGATCAGTGAAAAACAAATACGTCAAACAAGTTAAATCAAATATGCGAGCAGTCGAGTATCCTTGGCGCTGGGAAATGCATAAAATAACCGCGGGAGTAGGAAAGTAGCAAAACAGGAGTAGACGAAGTGCAGCGCAACACAGTAGGATTTACAAACGCTCGCCGCAGTAACGTCAGTTGAGTGCCTTTATTTATTACTTATTTATAAGCGCGCTGCTGCTGCTGCATTATTTACTAAGAGGAATGCATGAAGAAGAAAAAACATCCCGGTGGGTAATCTTCAAAATGTGCAACATAAAATGCACTTGTAAGCCAAAGTCATTGCCTGGCATTGCTCGGCGCGAATTTATGCAGCGTTTTAATGCACATAAAATGTTTGCGACTAAATTTATGTATGTACATACATTAGGGTGCTCCAAAAATAAATGCGGATACAAAATTTTAAAATGTTAAGCTTTCTCCCGCCCTAGGATTTTTCTAAATGGAAAAAAGAAGACCCATATTTTTTGTTAAAAAATGATATTTACAGCCAATTTTACGAAAGCCATTTAAGTGAAAAATGATTTTAATTTCTAAAATTTTATATGGAAATTGACAGAATAAAAAATCATTTTCCAGAAATGGTATAGAATTCTTAAAAATCAATATTTTTCGATCGGAAAACCCTGCTTCTCTTTATGAGACTTCCAACAACAATACCCTATTTATTTAACCATTTTTTTAATATTTTTGTAGATCTTACATAAATCCCAAAAAAATTCAATGTTAGTATCAAAAAATTATAAAACAAACAATTGGGCATCATTACTGGAGGTCTCCTGAAGTTAGGCAGAGTTTTCCGATCGAAAAATATTGATTTTGAGAAAGTCTTTACTATTTCTACGAAAAAGTGTTTTCCCCTATATAAAATACATGGAAAACTTCATGGACTTTGAGGCAGTTATAAATGTGATTTTTTTTTGTTAAAAAATAAGCGTACTCTTTTTTCCATTTAGAATGCTCCTAGGGTGAGGGTGTAAAATTTTACACTTGTTTTTTTACCACCCTAATGTACATACATACATGCATTTGCATTAAAGTAATGTACAGGACATTTTTATGTTTATTGAGACAATTTTTTAAGAATTTGTCGTATGCTTATTTTCAGATTTTACATTTCTTATTTGTCGTCAGCCTCCAGCTGAGTGATTGTCTGTATTTGAGTCTGACTAGTCACTTCAAAAAGCTGGGAGATGAATTATAGAAATGCATACAAATTCGTACTTATATACGGGTATATTGTATGTACAAATGCATGTTTTTCTATGAGTTGGCAGCTGAAGTGATGTTATCTTTCCGTGCAGAGTACCTCAGAGTGGCAAACATAAACATAAGTATTTGTGTAATTCCGTACAAATAAGGGTAAGTGCTTAGATATGCATTTACATACCTATACATACGTATACACGAATGTATTAGCACAGTGTTCGCAGCGTTATGTGTGCACAAATATTAGCTCAAGATTGCTCTGTGGACTTCGTGGATTCGAGTATTTGAATTGTAAAGACATGTAAAACAGGATCAAAGTAAAGATGCAAGGCTGAGTATTTTATCAAAAAAAATAAATAAAATAAAAAACAATTTGTTTTTTTTTTTGAAAAGCAGCGTAAATATTTGTTGAGGTATCAAATATCGCAAATTTATTTGCAAATATTAAACATCTTCGGTTTCTATTGGGCACAGTTTCATTCAGGGCCAAACATAGTACAATAGCAATGCACTTTAAGACTTAAGCGGCTGGGAAATTGCAATATAATGCAATACAAAATCCACACAGAGAATTGCTAATTGGTATGGGAGGTATTTTTATTAAAGAAAATTGCTGTTAAAACACGAATTGTACTCATATTCCAGTATGAATACGACTACGAACACAAGTGCGAATACAAAAATATAGTAGAATACATACGAACAATGGTAGGAATAAGAAAGCGAGTACGAAATCGAATAAGTGTGTATTCGAGTACTAGTACGACTACGATTAAGAATATGAATACGAGTGTCATTAAAAAAAAAATACAAATGCGAGTGCAAATACACCTTTGGAAACGAAAAAAAAATACTAATTCGAGTACAATAGTGATTACGAATATTTATTTGAAAAAAAAAAGAATTTGTTTTTGTTATTTTATGGCCTTATAACAATTATATGCAACAATTTTTATTGAGCTTGAGGCCATTTTTTAATGAAAAACTTATTGTGGAAAAGCAACAGTAATTTAAAAAATGGTAGAAGTGAGAGTTATATCGGAAATCACCACATTCCCTCATCAGACTTCTTTCAGTAGGATTCGAACCGACGATCCCACTGACTCAGCCAGTTGCCTACCACTGTGCTAAGTTCGCCTTGTGATAAGTTTTTCATTAAAGAATGGCCTCAAGCTCAATAAAAATTGTTGAAAAAATTAGAATTTTTAGAAAAAAATTAGTTATAAAATTTTATAGCCCTTTAAGTTTTTTTTCCTATCCCAGTTGAGTCATGTTACGATTCACCTAGTATGGGTTGAATAATAATAAGTAACCCAATAAATATTTGGCTTGGAGATAAATTGGAGATCCATACAAACTCCAAGGTCAAATGTTGATATTCAACCAACCTATTCTCTAACAAAAGGGCACATTTTTTGTCTTCAAAATAATCTGAGTTCTCCACTTAGAAAAGGTTGGATATCAATTAGAATTCAAATATTTAGTCAAATCTTGGGAAAAATATTGGAGAAGAATGTTCTATATCCAATTGAGAATGAAGAATTTCTCTAAGAGTGGAAAAAAGTTGGAAAAATGTTGCCTTGTGCATATTGGAAATTTCGCGTAAAAAACATTTTCATTGTTGTTATTTAGGTTAGATTGACGATATCTGATTAAGGTATTTTACGCTAGTCCGTAAGTGTACGACAGACTAAGGCCAGCACTATAGAACGTTTAGGGCCAGTTTCTCAATATCTGGTTAACACTAACTGAAGGTTAAACATCGTTATCACCTTCATAACATATAACAGGGAGTCAATAATGTCGATAACGATGTTTAATCTGCAGTTAGTGATGCGAGAAATGTTTTAAAACCCAATTGACTTGTTTGTGTTTCATGTTTGCCTGTTTAGTCTTACGCTGAGCTTGGCGACAAACTTTGTCATTACCTGCAAGCCCTTCAACTCTTCAACGACAAAAAAACACGTAACACTTAATTCTGCAGGATTGGAAGTCGCCGACGAAATAGCACAAGAAGGCACATCGTCTGTCCTTATGATTCAGATTCAGTTGGTCTTGCAAGACAAAATGAGTAAACTCAAACAACAACTGAGGAGGGGTAGCAGCCATAGGCCGACCAGGCTCTTTGTTTATCCTCGCCTGGAAAGGACATTTGTACATCTTTTGAGTAATAAAGCCAAAAAATTGATGATGACTGGGTATCTAACCAGCTACATAGTTTAGCATATGTACGAGCATATTATGTACCTCATATTTATTTTCTGAAAATCTCAAACGAAACAGTGTTCTTATCGAAATTTTCTCAACGATTTCTCTATTTATGCCTTCATATTTGCAACCTTTTTTCATTAAAGCGCTCTGAGTAAAATGCCTTTGTTATTTAACATTTTTAGTGCAATTCATAGTCAAGCTAAACATGCACATATGAATCAAAGACGTCGTTAAGATTTCACTGAAATTCCAATTTAAAACACAACATACGCTGCTATTCTTTTGAAGAGCTTTTGCTTTCGCAGCAAAAGCAATTTGCAATTGCCAACACTATGGCAACCAACAATAATGCCAGCCAGCACAAGCGAATGTGAAAGAATTGAAGTGCATATTAAACAGAGCCGGCAGCATTTTTACGTCTCAAGTGTAATTGTTGTTTTATTGCCGAAGAAAAAAAAACACACATACGAATAACAACAATAACAGTGAACAAAGGACGACGAAATAAGTATGCAAAAGGAGCGAATGAGTATTAGAGATCGCAAGACAGAAGGTGAAAAAGTCGCAGGAGTGGCAAATTCACTCACGCAGTTTACCTTATGGGCGTGTGTGTGTGTGTCTCAGAGTGCATGACTGGGTGAATAAAGGGTCACATACTCAGATGTGAAAAGGAACCTTAGCGCCTATTTAAATGCAAGAGCTCTGGCGTGGCTGTGTGAGGATCTCTATATACAATCTATGCATACATATGTACATACTTTCACTACGTCTGGCTACGCGAGCGCATTGTTTTAGCGCGTCAATGAATTTTTTTCTTTCATCCATTGTGTGCAAAACTCTAAACGAGCTGCTGACATTTCTTTCATTGTTGCTTTTGTTGACTGCTGCTACTTGAGATTTTTGTGAATGCATTATAAATGCAGTCTGCTAAGACGAACATACACACACACACACAAACTGAATGCACATTCATACATATTACATATGGTTTAGCACTTCTCTTACAAATATGAGAAAAAAATGACTCCTCTCGTTTGAAACTTCTACATNCCAATGAATTTTTTTCTTTCATCCATTGTGTGCAAAACTCTAAACGAGCTGCTGACATTTCTTTCATTGTTGCTTTTGTTGACTGCTGCTACTTGAGATTTTTGTGAATGCATTAAAAATGCAGTCTGCTAAGACGAACATACACACACACACGCAAACTGAATGCACANGACATTTCTTTCATTGTTGCTTTTGTTGACTGCTGCTACTTGAGATTTTTGTGAATGCATTAAAAATGCAGTCTGCTAAGACGAACATACACACACACACACAAACTGAATGCACATTCATACATATTACATATGGTTTAGCACTTCTCTTACAAATATGAGAAAAAAATGACTCCTCTCGTTTGAAACTTCTACATTGGCATGTGTACTTCAATGCTTGTATGTTTGTGTTTAACACTGTCTTACTTACATTGTGATACCACTCGACCCGTGTTAGGCTTGGATTCGCCTTTACATCGCATTCCAAGTAGACATCAGAGCCCTTAAGCAAGTTGTTGGGATCCAAAGGAGCGCCTAGGCGGAGTGAGACAATGGGCGCGTCTGCAAAATAAAATAAAATAAAATAAATTAAAGGTGCTTGTTGAGCTCGTTGAAGTTAAAAAGTACGGTAGTATTTAAATGAATTTATTTAATATAGAAAAAATATAAATATTGTGACAAACAATGTAATAAAATAAGGCACAGAGAGTCATTCAACCGTAATCCCAGAGGATCTAAAATGGACAGTCGCTTTGAAACAAGGATTTCTTCAAAAGTACTAGATGACTTTCGGCACGACCACTTCTAATACGGGCATTCGTTATTTAAAAAATAACCGCCACTATGAATACCATTTTTACATGAACAGCACCGCCCCATAAATATTTGGGTTGGAGGCCCAGTGGATATGCAATACCTATTCCAATTTCCAATGCTAATTTCAACTGTACCTTAATTGGATAACCAACACATTATCAAACACAAGGACACATTTTTTGTATGCAAAATAATTTGAATTATAATTAATTAATTAATTAATAATTAATTTTATTANGAGCGCCTAGGCGGAGTGAGACAATGGGCGCGTCTGCAAAATAAAATAAAATAAAATAACTTAAAGGTGCTTGTTGAGCTCGTTGAAGTTAAAAAGTACGGTAGTATTTAAATGAATTTATTTAATATAGAAAAAATATAAATATTGTGATAAACAATGTAATAAAATAAGGCACATAGAGTCATTCATCCCAGAGGATCTAAAATGGACAGTCGCTTTGAAACAAGGATTTTTTCAAAAGTACTAGATGACTTTCGGCACGACCACTTCTAATACGAGCATTCGTTATTTAAAAAATAACCGCCACTATGAATACCATTTTTACATGAACAGCAACGCCCCATAAATATTTGGGTTGGAGGTGAAGTGGAGATGCAATACCTATTCCAATTTCCAATGCTAATTTCAACTGTACCTTAATTGGATAACCAACTCATTATCAAACACAAGGACACATTTTTTGTATGCAAAATAATTTGAATTATAATTAATTAATTAATTAATAATTAATTTTATTCAAATCTTTATTTGGACCTATACAATTTTTTCGCTTAAGCGGCAAAGATGATATATCTATGTCAAATGGCTGCCGCCCGTACCCATTTTATCGCATTTACCAAGACTTTTCGCTTTCTTAAGGGCTGCGATTATCTCAGGCTTGTTGACATAAACCCGCGACTTAAAGTAGCCCCGAGACAGAAGTTTGGGATGGTTAAATCGGGCGATCTTGCTGGCCATGCCAAATCGCCAAACCGGGAGATTACGTGACCAGGAAACGCTTCCTTCGAAATATCCATTGTAGCCCTGCTGTGTGTGCGGTTGCACCGTCTTGTTGAAACCACATGTTCACCAAGCCCCGCTTATCCAATTTCGGCAGTAAGAAATCGTTTATCATCATACGCCAGTAACAGTGACCGTATTGCCGATGATATCCTCGAAAAAATATGGCCCAATCACTCCACCCACGTGAACACCACACAACACAGTGGCTTTGAGTGGATGTAATGGCTATTCGTGCGGATTTCAGTGCACCAGAAACGAAGATTTTGCTTATTGATGTAACCGCTTAAGTGGAAATTCGCCTCGCCGCTCATGATGGTTTTCGACACAAAATCGCCTGCTTCGTTATTGAGATTGTAGAAGGCTTGAAAGTAATTCCCACTCGGCTGACGGTCAACAGGCCTTAGCTGATGCACTGTTTGCACTTTGTATCGTCCGTCTGGTGATGCCTAATTGCGTGGCCCATCGTTGGGTTGATGTTTCTTCGTTCTCAGTGACATCGGCAGCCACAGCCGCGATATTATCGGTCGAATGACCAGCTCTCGTGTGATTCCAGTCTGTTTGAGTCGAGCAGCTAAGCCTCGGATATTCACGCTGCGCCTACACCCCCAACCGATTATTGGTAAAAAAAATCTACACAATTATTCCATGCTCTTGAGGAGTATAGCGCTGCATTGCTTGTCTGTAACTGTCAAGATCATAAATGTCTAATATGATTGACGTACGTCGCCATTTACAAAAATTATAACATTTCTCGATAGCATGATTCCTTTTCAGCTGCCATGAAGAACAGCGCTCTGCGAACCACAATAAATGTTTTTGCTTAGCTTTGCACTTCTTTACCGGTTGCTAAGGTATTGCGCTTAAAGTGCCGGACAGTGCGCAAGACACCAGCAGACTTTGTAGGTCACTAGCAGCCATCGAGAGAAAATGGTCGATCCATTAATGCATAAACGGCTTGCCATCCACTCCCCACCGTTGGCGCAAACCACAGGTTGATCCAGCAGTATATTTCCTGGTCGCTCACCGTCACCAGATAGCGCTAATCACTATCTCTGGCACCATTATCGATCCTGCTGTCAGCTTTTGAATCCAAAATTGGTCTCTTGTTCCCTAGGTAAGACCATCCGCCGTCTTGCATAAAACGTTGTGTGTAATTGAGAAAGTAAGTAATTGAGAAACAATTTTAATTTGGTGGGATAAGTGGGACCTCAGCTAGACACTGGACTGAATATTACCTCAGCCGTCGACCGTACCCACCTCATAAATATTCCAGGCCGATGTTTATTACTAAAGCTGGATAAATAAATACCTCAGTCCTATGAGTTCCCGACACTGCTACATAAGAGGCTCTTTCTCAAACACATATGTAGGTCAGTAGTAGAGCAAGTGACTAAACCGTTGCCCTATTCCCTCTAAATTCCTATGTTAAGTACAATTGAGAATTACAGATTGCTCAAATGTTTTTTCTTATATTCTGCGGAATAAAGTAATTAGTATAGCTAAGCTAATTTAGGTTGGGTATCACGCGAGAATTTCGAGAGTAAAAATGTTCTCATTCGTGCACAGGAAAACCAATTAAAATGAATTCAAATCAATCAAAATCTTAATTAGTACAACCAGGCAGCTTAGAATGGGCGAAAAAAGTTGTAAGCAGTGATCATTACCGAGAGCTTAATATACGTTTCATAAGTGCAAGTGCATAAATGCTTAAGCACTTAGATACATTCATACATATTTGAATTAAGATGCATATGTTTTCAGCAAGTGCAAGTATTATGTATGTATGCAATTATAGCATAGAATTGCACTTATGAAGTGCGCTGTTAAAGTAAAGTGTGCAAGCGAGTACGCGCACTTGAATACAACTACACAGCTCAAGAGACGCCCAACTAGCTTATTCAGTAAGTATGTATGTATGTACATATGCATGCATAGACTTAAAGACAAATGTAAGCCTGCGTTAACCAACAGCAAGCAGCATCGACAATTGACTTACGTGTCACATTCAGCACGCGCGAATCCTTTAAATATAATCCCATATTGCCATTGCTCAGTGATGCCAACACTGTGGTATCGCCCTCGTGCAGTTGCTGTGATGTTATAGATGGATTTAATGAAATGGAGCAGACTACTTGACGTTCGTCATCCTCGGGCACCGGTATAAGCATCAACTCGGAGATGGTGGTGTTGCCATCGCTAGAAGTCTGAAAAGGATACAAATTGAAAAATGGGAATAAATAATATGTAGAGAAGGTGAATAAAAATTTGTGTGTATGTAATTGCATAAGTATGTGTTTAGAGTATATTAAAGCCTTTAAGAAGTATTTCATACAATGACAATAAGTTAAGCAGATAAATGAAACACTACATATAAATAGTTTTTTTATGAGCACAAGCCACTGTTCTAATACATATCTAAATATTTATCCATCAGGAGAGTTGTCTTTGGAACTTAGGTCAAGATTTTAAACTACAATAAAAAACATTTAATATAAACGATTTATTAAAAGGTGATGAAGTCCTTCAGTAAGTGTAAATCAAAATTGCTTAAGTCCGTTCGAGACTGATATCGATGATAGTTAACGTCGATTTCAAATCATTATCGTCGAATACGGCAATAAATATATCCTGACAGCTATATCGGTAATTATCTATAGATCTTGAAGTTATCGATAACATGCCGATAACTATTTCGATATACGTTAAAAAAATATTTTTCTAAAAACTCAGTAAATATATCGATTTGTAAAAAAAATCGATAAATGTATCGATGAAAAAGTATCCAAGAGGGATTTAATAGGCACTCGACAACTTATTAGGAGTTTTATTTATTTGTGCTCGTTTTAAAATACATAAAATACAATAAGGGTCGTTTTGTCAAGTGACCTTTAATTTAAAGCTCACTTTATATTCAAAGGTTGCTTTAAAATTTATAGCTATGTTTAAAGTTAAGCATTTCTACTATCGTTTTTTAATGTATATATGTTGATTGGTTGTAAACCAATTTAAAACCAATAATAAAATGCTTTACTTTAGACACAACCATAAATTTTAATGTAACCTTTAAATAGAAAGTGAGCTTTAAAGTTAAAGGTTAATTGAGAAAATGGCCCTAGACCTAGAAATCGGCTTTTCATACAAAACTAAGTAAGTTTGCGAGATTGAAGTGGTTGCGAGGCACTTGAGCGTTTAAATGAATACCCCTAATATATTTTTGTGCAAATCCTTTCAAGGTTAAGTAGACAAAAAATGCAGTGTATTTTCATTAGTTTATACTTTAAACCTTGCGTGCCAGGGACCGTAACAGGTGCAACTTTTATTAAAAAAATCGCTCTTTGAAAATTTTTTTCGACTTTTATTTAATTACTCCTCAAATAACTGTTTGTTCTGTTTTTTTTCTGATTTATTGATGAAAACTGTCATTGAAAAATTCACTGTGAACTAAAGGTCTACAACTAAGTGATACATACCAATCGATTTTTTTTTCACCTAGAATCAAGTTTAAAAATAAATTTTTATTTGTAATTTAGACAAAAATCAAAAATAATTATTATTTTGGATATATAAAATAAAAATCAAAAATAATTGTTATTTTTTTTTAATTTTGCATAAAAATTACAAATAAAAATTTATTTTCAATGATTGAATGAATGAATTTTTCAATGTTAGTTTTCACCAATAACTGTTGTGTTCGGTCCCTGCTTCTTGCATATCATAATAATTGCAGTAAAATATTTTCCAAACTGAGAACTTACCGAGTGTGTTGCCCCCTTGACCACCTGGCCCCCTTTAGTCCAGACAATTTGTGGTGCTGGTCTGGCTCCAACAGCAGTGCAGGTTACATGAGTGCGCGTACCAGCGATGAGCGCATGATTGAGGCCTTGTAGCAGTAAGCTTAGTGGAGGTACTAAAATATAAAAGGAAATAAAAAATTATAACTATTAGTTTAGGCAAAACGTGAGTTTTTTTAAACACATCGTTTGATATGATTATCGAGCTATTATAAATATTTGAATAAGTTCTAATGAAGTACTCGCGTTTTACAAAAATAGCGGCAGCTGAAAAAATCGATTTTTATATTTTCTTACTAAACACCTATGTACATAAACTGCTTGAAGGGGAATAAAATTTAAATTGCATCCTTCAAGGCTCTCTGCGCGCGTTATACTCAACTTGTGTATTCAAAGCTTTCATGAAAAACGAAAATTCTTCATGATTTTTATATTTATGGCCATTATTTACAGCTCACAAACATAACGCTCGTCTAATATCAGCTTACTCTTACAAGCAATTGACATCAATCTTTGACCGCATTCGCACTCATACATATATCAGGATATCAAATTTCTTATGCACATCTTAAACTATTAAGAAAATATATGTTAGGGTGGTTTTTAAAATATCAACATCTAAATTTTATATTAGACACTCTTTTATTTTGTACGCAGTATATTTCAAAATTAAAAAAAAAAACACTATAGGTTTTTGCAAATTGAAGATGGACTCAATTTGATAAATTTGACGCGCAGAGTTATAGCTGTTCAAAGTCAAAATTTTCTCAAAGAGTAAAAAGAATAAAATTTTATCGAGATTTCTAATATTTTTTTTTATTCTAAAATTTTTGTGGAAGTCATTTGTACGTAGAACAAAAAAAACCGGGGCTACATAATGCTGATATTTTGAAGACCACCCTAAAGTGGGTAATGTATTTTCATTTACTCGCCAGCTCTAAAGAACGAAAAACTGTAATCTGCGATAAAAAATGCAAAGCTCTCAAGGTTGAAGTGTAGAAAGCGAATGACTTGCAGAAGAAATTCGGCACACGCCATAGCCACTACATATTTATGTAAGAGTATTTGTATGCGTGGGCAGGTGAAACTTGAGCATAAATCTGAGAAATCTTTTATGTAACAAGCTAATCTACATACATAGCATAACACGCACATATGTATCTGTACAAGTATGCGTGCAACACACAAACAAAATTTTGATTGAAAAAAAGCCACCAAAAATATGGATATATCTTTACACAAGTCTACGTCACACACATAAATAAGTATGTAGGTATGTACATACGCTCATATCCTTGAGCAAATAAATTCATCTACTAATATACGGTAGCTTAGACTTCTGCTGTGCTGGGTGTGCGCTCAACATATTTTTATAGTCGTTAACTAGGCGTTGCTTAGTGCTAGCTTGCTTGTAGGCAAATAAACTTAGCTACTTATGAATGTATAACTAGTTTTGGTTAGTGTCCATATCTACTCATGTGTGTACGTATCCTAGCCTATGTATGAATGAAAGTATAATATTGCCGTAAAGTATGAATAAATCCAACGAATTCCATCATAGCACTCGTTAATTAGTTTTTTTGTGTTTTTATAGACTGCTTAAGATATTTTCTGACTTATTTGCTGCATTTGTCAGAGAAATTCAGGCAAATATGAAATCGTATATCATTGCACATATCCACTCAGATATTGACAGACAGCATATGTCTAAATTTCCTTGCACTCTACTCTACCTAGCATCTAGCGCAAACGCCTGCAAATATGCTTAGTTTATTGTTTGTTGGAGCAATGCTAACCTCTGATTGTTTAGCTACTATATATGTATGTACATATGTATGAACTTACATGGCATTTATATGATTTGCTTGAAATGAATGTACAGATTACATTTTTATTTTACTACTGATTGTAGACGATACTTTGCTTAATATATGTATACATACAAATGTACAGATCGTAAGATGGTTTGGTATACTACATACATACATACATATAAACATTTGCATAGTTATGGTGTGTTTGCTTAGGCAAATAAACGAAAAATGCAGTAAAATTTGATTACACACATTTGCAGTGACCGAAAATATCATCGAGGACATAAGATAATTGAAAGTGGTAATTTAATTGGATATCTAAGCATTAATCGATTCCAAAAGTCGGCATACATATATGTGTACATATATAGTAGCTAAACAATCAGTCGATTATAATTGTGTTGTTTGTCGGAAGAATTAGACTAAAAAATGTTTTACTATCATTCCAAAGCCATTAACAGACATCACTCAAGTCAGCTGACTTTGCAGTTTTATAGATCATTAAATTTTAGTACAATAAAGTGCAAGTTGCAAGTGGCTGTGAGGTCGCTTTGAGTTTTAAAATTTTTTTTGTTAACATTTCGAGCTCATCCGCAAGCCAAATGGGAAATAAAAGCGTTTGACAGGTTTTTAAAATCAACTAAACTCTAAGCCTCTTACAAAATGCACCTTATGATACTTAAATTTAATGATTATAAAACTGCATATCCAAAATTTTTCTAACAACCAAAAAAATAATTAATTTTGGTGAAATTAGGAAAATTTTTTCTAGAAATATAAAATTTTTTTTTCGTTGGGAAAACCCTACAATTGATTCCAACTATGTAGTTTTTGTTAAATATGTAATATTTATTAACTAGAACAGGTGAATCGATTATCTTCAAAATTGTTACTTTTGCCGCGCTTTGCAATAAACAGTTTTTTTTTAATCAAATAAGAATTCAAAAATAAGGCTTAACTGCTGGTCTCTTGTAAATTTTATTAGCTTTCATAAAAAAAAAAAATTAAATTCAGTTAAAAAATACGGTTCTGGTGAATTGTAAGCACTAAAAGCCAGTTTTGAATCACTGTGCGGTGGTCAACAGCTCGACTACATAGACGAACTTTTAGTTCTAAGTGCTCTGAAAAAAAAATAATAACGTAAAAGTACTACATGTATACCCCACAAAATTTTAAGGAAATTTTATTCCCAGCTTTCGACAGCAGCAAACTTTTGATATGAAACAAAATGGTTTGGAAAGCTTTCAAGGGAAAATATACCCATTGACCAACAATTACTTCTTGACCTTAAAAGAGTGGTGAAAAATAGTGTTCTTCGAAAAAAAACATGCAAAATCCACCGGATTTATTCAAAAAAAATTATTTTGACTTTTTTATTATACTAATATTATAGATTTTGAGACGAGAAACACGATTTGAGCCAAGGTAAAAATCTCTAGGCCTCTTGAGAGCCAAATTCTAACGATTCTGAAGTTAAACTTCGAAATTTCATTCGACATTTTACGCATTTTCTTCCTAATNAAAAATAGTGTTCTTCGAAAAAAAACATGCAAAATCCACCGGATTTATTCCAAAAAAATTATTTTGAATTTTTTATTATACTAATGTTATAGATTTTGAGACGAGAAACACGATTTGAGCCAAGGTAGAAATCTCTAGGCCCTTTGAGAGCCAAATTCTAACGATTCTGAAGATAAACTTCGAAATTTCATTCGACATTTTACGCATTTTCTTCCTAATTTCGCAGTAAAAACAAGTACAGCAGTTTCGTAGTTTGGTTTAAAATTGTTATAACTTGGCGCTAAGAGGGGCTAGGCACTTCTACCATGACTCAAATTAAAGGTCTGGAATTGCAATTTTTATAGTTTATATTTTAAATAGGACATAACTTCTTTTGTTTTACTTTCTGAGGTGGAGTAAGGTATCAAGGTGAATCGCAGTAGACTTTGCGCGATATTCTGGAATACCGCTTGATATTTGCTTTGAAACACTTGAAAACTATAGCCTTGAAAAAATAATAAATAATAAGAGTAAAAAAAATGTATGGGTATAAAGTGCTTTAAAATCAATGACTACTCATATTTTTAAGACAATTATAAAAAAAAATCGCCGGGCACACCAACGCAGCTTATCACAAATCAAGGCGGAAAAGGAAGCGCTTGAAAAATCCGCTCAGAAAAGTATTAACCAAAGGGGAAGTTCTACTTATGCCAAAGCATGTAAAAAGACGAAGTGCCTTCAAGCAACCAAAGCGCACTAATTATTGGTAATCACGCACTGTGCATGCGAGTGACATACATACATACAATCAAAATCAATTTTTTCACTTTACAAGATCAAAAATGCGCTTGAAGCGCCAAAATGTGTAGTGGAGCCGTGTAATGATGATTGCTTTGGTCGCGATCTATGTATTTAGGTGGTGTTTTTTACGTTATGCAAGGGCGCCGTTAAGACTACCAACACATTCTAAGTACACTACAGCACCCTGATGACTGCTGCGAAATTACACACTCTGCTGTCATTAATGTGTTGCGGAAATGGCACGAAAATAACAGCATGTGTTGCACGATGCATCACGCAAAGTAATCACCAAAATCGGAGTGAGGGTGGACTGACGACTAAATATGCACTCAGAGCTGATGAATGAATAGACGTGCGCGCTGCCAAAAAAAGGAAGAAAAGCAAAGCAAAACTCAAACACAAAGCGGCAAGGATGTAGGTAGCACAAACTTATGTACATAATATATATGTATGTTTGTATGCATGTTGTTTTCTCCAGTTGCTTCGCATTTTATTACAACAAAAACAAGTGGTTTCTGCATATTTTTGCATTATCGTATTGGCAGTGTTGCCGCCACCACCACCCTACGCGTGCTTATTTAGCACACTCTAGTGGAAATCACAAGCAGGCGCTTGTAAGTTATTAGTACATATCTGTGCGTTTTGTGGTTAGTATAAGTATTTATGTACATTAGGGTGGTCCGAAATGAGTAAAGTCGGAATTTTAATGCTCTCACCCCCTAGGATTGTTCTTAATATATCGAAAAAAATATACCCATATTTTTTTATTTTTAAATCAAAAAGTATTTAGAGCTTCACTCAAAGCGCTCAACGTTTTCCATGTATTTTATATGGGGTAAAAAACTTTTCGTAGAAATGGTATAGAATTCTTAAAAATCAATATTTGTCGATCGGAAAGCTATGGTTCCAAGAGACTAAATAAATAATTGAGTATTATTATTAGGAATCTCCTGAAGAGAAACAGAATTCCGATCGAAAAATATTTGTTTTCAAGAATCCCATACCCTTTCTAAGAAAAAAGTTTTTTTTTTCATATAGAAAACTTTGAGCGCCTTGAGCGACCCAGAAATATTTTTTAATTTCACAATAAAAAAATATGGTTATATTATTTCTCGCTATACAACAATCCCAGTGGGTGAGCGCATAAAAATTCCAACTTTACATTTTCACATGCATTTTTGTACCATCCTAATGTACATACATACATATGTCATTGCGTTAGCTCTTTGTTCGACTTTTAATTACAGTCACGCGCTCTAAATTATGCAACCATTCTTCTGCTTGTCTTGACTTCTCATTGCTTGTAACTTATCAAATGGTGCGTTGTTTTGTTGCCTACTTACAGGGGTGTATAGCGTACAGCCTATAGAGTCACTGCGCTGCGCGCTGTTTTGCTAATTGAAAAGTGTGTTTTTGTTTGCC